TTTTTGTTGACTTTTTTGACTTTTTTTATGCAAGAAGGATTAAGTTAAATATGCCTGACTATTTGCCCAACCACTTAGACATAGAAATCTTTGTCAAAATTCCAATGAAGTCCATCCTTAGTTGCACATGTGTTTGCCGGTCATGGAAAGATATGATCAATATGTAAGATTTTCCCTAATAATATATATTGTATATTTGATTGCTGTAATTTGGGGCAAACAAATAATACCCGGAGTATTCGGGTTGTCGAACCACAGAGAGGTGGGGTACTAATCACTAGCTACTAGGTTACTCATATGAAACTAGTCCGAACAAAACTTGAAGGTTGATTGATTGCATAAAATAACAAGCAGAATAAAATAAGTAGCAAGGTTTTGTAGACAATAGAGCAAAATAGGATTCTTGGGGTCACAATGTTTAATCACCTAGTGCCAATTAACGTTTGTAATATTTGGTTTGGAATTAAGATTTGTATGGGAATGCAAAGTGGAATCGAATTACTCCCGTAATCTCTATTCCTAGTGAATTTCCACTCCCATGGCTTAAACACCCAATAAGATCAAAGATCAGCATTCAATTATTCCTAATTACTACCATCTCCCGATGAGCAATAATCTAGAATAAATTTCCCCTAATAAGTTCCCCTTTCCCAAGGACCAACCATTAGGTGCAATCGTGTGTGCCCTAATTTATGCCCCAACTCCCATTGGTGACACAAACATGACTGTGAAGCTAGTAATTTAGGCCTTTAACTACCAACAACAACATATTAAAACAAGATTGCAACACAAATCATAAAACCAAACATAAATATATTAAGAAATTAACGAACTAGGCACATAGGTTCATAAACAAGTTCACCCAAAAATCCCTAAGGAATTTAGCCGAGCATGGCTAAATTATACATAGCAAATATGAATAAAGGATTACAAATCATCAGAAGAGTACAAGAATTAACCAAGCGATTCTCCCAAATCTCCCTGGCTTCCTCCTTGCTTCCAAAGACGACTTGAGCCTCTTGATTTCTCTCTTTCTTGTCTACAAAGAACTCTAAAAATCTCTCGGTGTGTTTTTTAGGGTTGAGGAAGGAGGGATTTTATAGTAGGTATAAAGTTGAGACGAAATAGGAATCTGGTACAAAATTGGACTCAAATTGGACTCAAATATCTCGCGACTTCGTGCTGCGCCCGACGCGTCGAGACCTGCTGCGCCCGACGCGTCGAGCCAATTCTCCACGCGTCGAGACCTGCTGGTCTCGACTTCTGATGCTACTGGAAATTTTCGACGCGTCGAGCCTTTGGCTCGACGCGTCGAGTCCTCTGGGCCCCGAACTTGTCCAAAATTGCTCAAAACTCATCCTTGAACTTCCCTTGCTCATATCTTTGACCTAAAATGGTTCAAAAACACTAACAAACACCGTAAAACATTCAAAACAAGTGTGAACCATAATTAAATGATAATAGCAAGGAAAACATGTATTAAATAAGCAAAATGAAAGAGCTTAATTACTGTGATGATTCAAAATAACCATAAAAACAAGAACAGATGTGCTAACATCAATATTATATATTAGGGTCTTAATTAAGTGGTGCAAGTTGACTAGGCTTATTAAGTGGTCTGGTTAGACTGAATAACTAGAAATTGTTAGTCAACCAGACTCTCTGCCTAATATAAACCTGGATTGATGGGATACAGGTCTAAGGATTAGATAACACATTCAGTTACAGTACTCAGACTGCTCAGTAGACACCAATACACCATCTAGGGTTGTGAGTCTAGTCTGAGGCAAAACATAGCTAACAGTTTACCGTTAAGAGGCAACACAACAGGAACATCAACTGTGGTTGGAGATCAACACGGCTATCGCTTCCGCTCATACGAGGTCAGATCTCTCGTATACTAATATTCAGTATAGTTAGACTATTATTTAGATCTAACACAATAGTCTAAGAATTCATCTCCAAACACCTCAACTTCAAACTTGAGAGTGAGGCTCACAATTCTTGTCGTCTTGTGCATAGATGTAGTAACCCTATGCAAGCAAAATTCACATTTTATGAAAAACAAAAAATAACCGACCTATGGATATATTTGTTGAGTTAAACTGTCCTTTCAGACCTAAAAATAAAACATTTCAAATTTTTGGTACTTCTAATGGCCAATTATGCCATCTTGAAATTCTTCGAAGTTATTATGATAATGTGATTGTTTGGAATCCACTCGTGGAAAAATATAATCTATGCATCTTCCACCACCAAACATTACTTGCTATTCATGCGAGTGCAATAACAATTGGTTTGGGTTTTGTTATGATTTGGTTGAGAAGGACTAAAGTTTTTAGTATTATATGCATGGAGAATGCTAACCATGTGGTTGAGATTTTAAAGGTAAGCATGCCCACATGGGATAACATAAGTGACATGGGCACTTGTACACTTTTATTAATTTCTTGACTGATGATCAAGTATATTTATGTGGGTCAATGCATTGGATTCGAAAGGTTAAGACTAATCACAACAGTATTACAAGAAATACGATTTTTTATTTTATGTGCATGTGTAGAGCTTCCATGGGATGGAATTACCTTAAACGTTGGCTACATATATATCCACATAAAATGCATGTCGTAGCATACATGGGATTATTGCCAATTGTTTTGGATGAAGTTATGAAAGTTTCTATATGGAAAATGATAAAGTATGGTAGTGTAGAGTCATGGAACGAACAAATTTGTATTTATTGTTCCCAGACCAAGTCGTCGTGTTGTGGATTTAAGAGGAATGGTAAGATTTTAAGTATGAGGAGAAATGAGGATTTGTACAATTATAACTCCATAACATAAAGATTCAACTTTTTTTTAGACAACCTGTATTCTCAATTTGCCAATTCTGGATGCGGCTCTATGCTACTCCTTATTTGGAAAATTTAGCTTTTATTGATAAGGGTCCTACGTTTTCTTATATTGCTACTGCAAAAGATCGAACACATTGTAGCAAATAAGTTCTTCTATAGTAGCAATATCAGAAAACTCAAGACCCTTATCAATAAAAACTAAAGTTTTTAAATAAGAAGTTGCATAGAACGACAATCAGAATTGGCGAACTATCAATACATGTTGTCTGAACAAGGTGTATCGTTCTGCTATGGGCTTAAAATGGTAGAAATCCACATTTATCCTCATACTTAAAATCTCATCATTTCTCTTAAATTCACACCTCGGTCACCCGATCAGGGAACAATAAGTACAAATTTATTCGTTCATAACTCATTACCATACTCTGTCATTGTCCATATAGAAATTCCTTAGCTTCATCCAAAACAATAGCCAATGATCCCATGTATACCGCAACTTGCATTTTATGTGGATATGTAGCCAACATTATAGGTAACTCAATCTCATGGAAGCTCTCCTCAGGCACATCAATAATACAATCTTATTTCTTACAATATTGTTGTTATTAATCTTAACATTTCCAATCCAATGCAGTAACCCACTTAAATATACTTACCATTAGTCAAGAAATTAAAGCGCTCAAGTACCTTGTCACTTATGTTCCCCCATGTGTATGTGCTTACCTTTAAAAATTTAAACCACATGCTTATCATTCTCCATGCATATAATACTAACTACTTTATAGTACTTCTCAATCGAATCATAACTAAACACAAATCAATGACCATTTTAACAAGAATAGCAAGTAATGTTTGACCGTGGAATATACAAATCAGATACTACTTACGTATGTAGAGAGTTTCATAGCAAAGATAATCATCAATTGATTTTGTAATTACGACTAGCATTACGCTAGTAATAGTTCACGTAATAGCCATCATCAGAATCATGTAGCTGCTGTTACGAGGTTCATTACTCACGTAAAAGGCCTCATAACACAGAGAAATCCGAGAACTATAAAGGGGAGAGTTAAAATTTTCAAATGAGCTTTTGTTATTTTTAGGTTTCTCCTTAGACTTGCCTTGAAGTTCATTTTCCTTTTCAAATTTCAAACACTTTTAGCTTTTAATACTTGTTAATATATTATAGACCTACTGAAAAGGTGAATGTTGATCAAACTAAAGGAAAAAACTTTTAAAAAAAAAATGTGTTAATTTAAACAAAACAACATTGTTTTGGACCATGTTCCACGGTATAATTTTCTCTATGTTGCCTAACATTTAACATATTTCTCATAGTATATACTATTAAATAAGAAGAAATTAGAAATACCTAATACATGTCCCCGTAAATTTATTAATGTTGAATAAGAAAATTTAAATTTTTTTCTATAATTATACTATGGATTGAGATTAATCCACCTTATATTGTGAGCCTGATCCAAAAATTGTCTACAATTAAAAAATTGTATTAAATTAATAAATTAATGCAAACACATAATATGAATGTTAATTTAGACTAAAGTCCACAATGCAAGGTGAACCTTGATCCATGGTATAACTTTCCATAGTGTCCATAATCAGGCCTAGGGGTGTAAATGAAGCCGCTCGGTCAAAGCTCGGCTCGAGCTCGGTCAAAATCGAGCTCAAGCGGTTCGTTTATCAAACAAGTCGAGCTCAAGCTCAAATATTCTAGGCTCGTGACTCGTCGAGCTGCTCACTAGCCATAATTAAATAAATAGATAAATATTATATATATGGTAGGGATCAATGACTACTATTGCCTTGTAATTAAAGTAGAGTGTCACTTGTTTTGAGTGTTTGGAGTCTTTAAACATTAAAGTTTAGACTTTTTAATTTTTTAAAGTTTTTATTATTTATGTATGGATAAAACAATGTTTATTATTAATTGAAATATGAATTCAAATAGGTCAAAATCAAGCTGCTCGAGCGGCTCAAAAAATTACCGAGCCGAGCTCGAGCATCATTTTTCGAGCTCGAGCTCGAGCCAACCCATGCCCGAGCTCAGCTCGCCTCGTTTACACCCCTAATCAGGCCACAACCTTTGTAAGTTATCGCTTCTTAGGACCATATGTTGATCATGGCATTTTAAGGAGAAAAAATTATAAGAAAGATCCAAACATCAGAATTTTTACTAAGAATTAAGGAAACTATCTGTGCAAAAACGGAATAATTCACATAGTACAAAACAGAATGAGGGGAGAATTGAATATAATTCCTAATACAAAAACCGGCGGCCTATGAATCCTCCGATGGTGCTTCAGTAGTTAACCCTCCTTCATTGGTGGCAATTTTATCATCAGAAGAGAGCTCATTCTTCTCCTCTGTAATGATGGGTTTCTCATGTGGCTCTTCCTTGACACCTTTTTGCTCCAACTCTTTATTTATCCTTCTAATTTCCATATCCTTCTCTTCCAGCTTCTCTTGCAACATAAACACCTGCAACCATATTTAAATGCGTTTGTAAATTTGAAGGTGATGATTGGTTATTAAGCTCCAAAATTCATTCTTTCGTAACTCAGATCCTCTAAATTCGTTATGTAGCAATGCTTCAGAACTCGGTCACATTCTTGAAATATCAGGGAAGAAAATGAATCAGAAGACAAATCCAGTGTTTCACGTCAAGCTAGATAATGGCATGACTCAAGTCCTTTCACTAATTTGTGGATTGTAAGAGAAAGGATTAGTCTATGATGTCAGTATAGCGAACCTTTAAAACACACTATATTCATAAATCATATGTCACTGCTCTGTATAACAGTCTGATAAACTCACCAAGTGACTACTAAAAGCTAAAGTCACTGCCAAAAATGGGCAAATTATACTTGGATCATGGTCCACGTTGCAAGGTGAACCACTAAAAGCTAAACTCTGACACGTTCATGGCAAATTATTTTGTGGACCCGGGTCCAAAATGCACAATTTACATATTGAATGTTCACAATTTACATACTGAATGTTCACAATTTTGTAAAAGGTAAATTGTGAACATTCAGTATGTAAATTGTGTATTTTGGACCTGAGTCCACCTTGCAAGGTGGACCCTGGTCCATGGTATAACAACTGCACATTCATTCATAAGACCAACTTCAAATTCATCATAGAACAGGATAATATTTTATTGGCACATCACAATAAAAAATAAAATATTAAAAAAAATGCATCTAAGTAAAATAACTGCTATAAAGTATAAGCAGGAGGCATTACTACTATGTTAGGCATGAAAAGTTCCCCTAGCCCAGTGCTTCTACAGTTCTACATAAAAACAGAAATAATACATAATTGAAGAGGGGGAATTACCATTTCATTTGATATTTCAACATCATTAGTCAGTCCCTCTACTTGTTTGCATAATCCTGCAACCGATAACAGAAGACAAACAAATAAACCATACATCGTAGGATTCAAAATCCAAATTAGAAAGCTAACAACTACGACATTCAGGGAACATATAAATAGAAATGGCGAATTTGATTCTTGCACACACTATCAAAAAGATTTCTAGCAACATCTTTCTATGGCTCTCTACACCCTTACAATTCATACACCAATGAAATTATTGATGTAAACTGCTTTTCTCAGCAGAACATCCGAAATAGGTTGCAGAACAAGAGATGTAACTAACATGACCATAAAGCAGTACTCACCTGTGCAAAAGATACAGCAAAATAAAAATAAAAAATAAAATAAAATATCTTACAACTCTACATACTAGTCAGAAAACCATAGAAGAATACAAACCTTCAAAGTGACCTTTGAGTTCTGCATTCTGTGATTTCTGCAAAGCTAGTTTCATTGCCAATTCATGCATCTGCAAATGAAGGCAATGAAATAAGTATCAACAACAAAACATGTATCTACAATTTCCAAAAAAACGGAGGTGTCTACAATTTTAAGCAAAAAACAAAAGTTGTTCTTTTTAAAATCCATTTTTAATCAGTATATATGTTGAAAAATGCAAGGCTATTAATTTTAGAACAAATAATAATTCATTCTTCTAGTAGGAAAAAGGCAGAATTTATACAAATAATTGTAAATACCTTCCCCTCATTAGCTTGATTACCAATCTCCTCATTTTCCTCCTGTAGAGTCCTGCATTTGGCCATTAACATCTTCCCCATCTTGCTTTGCGGGGTAAAATTGACAGCAGCAATATTATCTTGCAACTCCTTGACCTTTTTATCCTTCTCTTCTACCAAATTCTGCAGTAGCAAGAGACATTACTAATCTATAACAAAATCATCAGAAAAAACAATAAAGAGTATCAAGAGACATGTCAACAATAAAACTTTCTAGAACAGAATAAAGAAATGTTATTCCTCAGTTCATTCATTTGAAAAAAAAAATACAAAATAAAGACAATATAAAAACAAATGGAGAGACAGTTACACAAGTTATAAGATCAATTTAGAATTACTTTAGATCCCAGTTCGGGATCCCATAAACATGTGCCTGACAGATGATCAGATACATCTCGGTATATGTCAATTTTTCCTCACGTATCAAACTAATCACAGGCTAAACCCAAAATCAAAGGCTTTTTCAGTAAATTAAAATAAAATAAAACAGGTAGAAAGGTACTGCTGAGGGGCTATACAACCACATATATCAAAAATCACAATGGAAAAACTATCTATTGAGCTAGCTACCTGTTCCTCCTTTTACCTTCCCACCTGAGGAATAGGAAAACACAAAATAAAGATATGATACTTCCATAGTGGAGGGAATAGGGCAATAATGTGTATTTTTTACAAATAAGGTAAGAAAAGAACTCTAGAATTTAGGCCTGGAATGTTTGAGTTTCTCATTTTTCATTTATCTTACTTGACCTACACTAGTGGTAATTTCCAGATCACCCCCTGGACAGTGGTTGAGGGGAATCTGCTTTTCCTACCGAATTACCAAAGCATAAAAATATCCATTGTACATTCCAGAAAAAAAAAAAAAAAAAAAGGAAACATTATTATGTCAAGGTCCTCAGTTCAGGCTGTCCTGAAATATATGTCCACTCTTTTCCAGGAAAGAGAGATGCTCTTTATTTTTTAATATCCACTAAAATAGTAAAATTACAGAACACTGAGGAATCACATGGAACCCACTTTTAGACTTTCCAAAACCAATTCTCTACTTATTATCTCCAAAAATAATAATAATAATAATAATAATAATAATAATAATAAATAAAACTGCCCTCTATCTTTTCAACTAAAAATTGTATATCTCCAACTCAACTTCTACTTATTGTAATAGGCAAATGAAAGTTTAATTAATAGAAAAACCAAGGGGTGTCGACCCTTATAAAGCTATGAAGAGGCTCATTGGGGTATACAGGCCTCAAAAAATCTATAAACAACATATCAGCAAACTCTATGTAGGCTTTTCTATCCAGTATCCACCCACAGAGAAGGGTATGAATTCATGGATCTTTTAATGCTCACTTAATACCCACACCAATTAAGCTAGTACAATCAATTTTGAAATGCATACGAATCGACAGAAATACTCACAAGTCATCCACACTGATCCACTACAATGACAAAAAGGAGTATTGAGGAATATTTAGGATGCATAAAAATGGAAAAACCATATGTGCACAACAGGAATGGTAAAGTGACACATTCTACATTCTTGACCAGTAATAATACAATGAACATAGAGAATGAACCTTCAGGCGTGTGAACTCTTCATGAATAGCTGGATCTAACAATAGTTTCCTTGCCTGCCAATTATAACAAAGAAAGAGAACTTCAAATTGAGAGTCAGAAAAGAGAACAAAAAGGAATGTAAGAGAAAGTGAAACCAAAATAAAAGGAAAAAGGAATTAGGTACATAGATAGATACAAAATAGTGAGCTACAAACAGAGGAGCCACAAAAGAGAACTATAGAACGTGAAGGGGGGGACTAGATTCAATTTCAATGAAAGCCAAAAGAACACTCCACGGAAATGTAATGTCCTTATGTGCATACCCTCACAATGAGACTTAAGTGTTGCATTTTGCATCATGCATGAGATCGATCATCAATTTATAGAGAAGGTTGTTTATAGAGAGTGAGAAAGACATATTTCATCATGTTCAATAGAAGGGTAGTTAGTAGTAAATTCTAGAGATTTGACAATAATAAAGCAGATTCTGGGAAAAGCAGTGGTCTATTTGGTTGGAACCTTTTTTTTTTGTGAAACGGTGTACAAAGCAGTAAAAGCTTATCATGGATTGCAAACCTTTTACATAAATTGGAAGGATTTAAGCAATTTGAGTCTTCTCTTCCCTTTCCTTTCAAATCTGTTGCTTTTCAGAAAATTTCTTGTCCTATGCATTGCAGTTTTTTACTTTCTTTATAGAATTTTTACTTTACCAATAAAAGGAAGCCATAACATCCAATATTTTACTAAAGAATAGATAGAATACAAGCAATGGAAGAAAGATTTAAGAAAAAATACTGCTCCAAGGTTACTACTTCAGGAAGGAAAAGAATAAACAAACTGAACATTTCAAGATGTATTTGTTGTGTTCCTTTCTTTATAAAACATACTCCTAATAAATCTATGTATTGGATAAATAAAGTGCATACCTGCATGGATGGTGGTTTAAGTTGAGCTCTTAGGTCACGAACTGCAGACTAGGATAATCATGACAAAAAAAGAAGAAAAAAGAGAGAAAGGGTTAGACTACAAAGAAGACCAATAGCATTTAAATCATGAAATTTACTCAACAAGTAAGCACATAAAACATAATAATACAGCGCGAAAAACCCTCCCCAAAAGGTCATTTCTTTTGCTTACTTAGTGCTTCCAAGAAGTTGGCTTGCTGGGAGCAAGGCACAACCTACAGATAGCCAGTTGGTCTTTTCTCAATATGAACACCCAGAAATTTTCTTCCCGCTATAATATGGACAAAACCCTCACAATGGCTAGAAGAAATAATGCCCCCCATCCTAAGCTAACATCTATTTTAGATTTTAATCAATGGGGCACATCTTCAGAAACATTAAGGCTGCATTTACTTCAATTATCCAGTTTTCCAATTCTCCAAAATGTCATTATATACATATACACACATACATACATACACACACACACACACACACATAATATTGGCACTCCATTCGTGTCTGTTTCCATAAACCAAACATGTAAAAGTGTAAAACAGTAAAAGTCATAGTACTATCTAGGTATTTGATACCCTTTCAATTTTGATATCCATAGTCAAACCAAATACCTCCCTTGTGTATCATAATATACAAGGGTACAGAACATTTCTTACCTTCAACTCAGCTATCTCTTGATCTCGTTTTGCAATATTTACTATAAAGGCAGCTTCTTTTTTCTTAGCTTTCTCCAGCTGATGGTAAAGCCATGGAAATAAAAACAAATGAAGGAAAATTAGTATGGTAAAACTACAAGAACAAAAAGTACTAAGGAATGAAAATAACTTATGATCAAAACAAAACCTGTTCCCGTAACAACTCCTCGGATGACCTTAGGTTTTGAAGATAGTTTATCACAATTTTTGGTTCTGTAAGGAAACAAGTCAAATGAATAATTTGAAACTATTAACTATTTAAAGGAAACCTAATCCACACACATAAAAACCTGCTAATATGGATACCAGATCTAGCTATTCCAGCAATCAATGGATATATGCCAATTCATGACAATTAAAAAACTAGAAAAAAAAAAAAAAAAAAAAAAAAAACAAGTTTACACAAAAATAAGACATTAGAGAACATTTTAAAATATACACAAACCAGGGGTTGTTCCAGAAGGCATGAAAGATTCCTTCTGAAATGAAGAATGCCACTTCAGTATTTCAGACTTTGCAGCTTCAAGTTCTGACTACAACATACATCAGAAGCCCATTAACATTTGAAATGTAGAAGGAAACAGAAATGGTCACCAATAAAGTTCTAGCCATTTCATAATACATTGCTAAGATAATACAAGAGGACAATTAAATGATGGAAGTCTTCAACTCTTCTAGGTTCACAATTATAATAATGCAATGCAGTTTTTTAAAGAACTTTGAACATCATTTGACCAAGTATTTGAGGATTACTGGAGAAAAAAACAAAAAACAAAAAACAAAAAAAAAAACAAAAAACAAAAAACAAAAACAAAAAAAAAAAAAAACAAAAAAAAAAAAAAAACAAAAACAAAAACAAAGGAGTGACAAGTAAACATCCCGGGAAGACTTCAAACCATAAGCTTAACTTTATGAGAGCTTTTCAAATGCAGTCAAAGTTCAACTTGGAATCGCTGGTGAAAAATATCAAGTTATCAACCTAGCAGAAGATTTTTCAAAATAAGCTAGAAATAGCAGATTCAAAGTCATTGGCTAATACTAGAAGTTGGATTGATAATAGAGCCCATTAGCAAACACTCGTCAGATAGACAATAAAGATTAGTACATATTAAGCAACCATAGATCTGATATGGATTAAAAATGTAAATTCAACAATATCTCCAATAGTGCACACCTGACATGTTGCAAGGGTTTCTTTACAGTCCTTAAGACTGCAAAAGTCAAGGACAAAAATTATAAATATTAGTGGTTTCAATTCAAAAGTTACTTGTTTCAAAAAAAAAAAATAATCAAAAGTTACTAAATGCATATTAAGACACTAGTAATACCTCTCACGAAGAGACAAAATAGTCCCCGTTGCAGCACCAGGAGCAGTTTCTTCCACTTTTATGTTTCCCTAAATTTTTAATGAAGGAAATACATCAATTATTGCATAAGTAAATTCAAAATTCAAGCTGCACCCTTCCAAGCACTAAAAAATAGGGCTAGTAAGAGTGTGAAAGTTTGGACAAAGTGATAAGAAAAGGATGCCAAGGCATGAAAGTTTGATGTGAAGCATATTAGGGAAATGGACAGCTTATAGCAGCATCAATTGTGCCACCATCTTTCATTATGTCAGCAATTGTAAAACATAATAAAAGAAAACTACAGAATTTGTGAAAAGGTGATACTTGTTCAAAAAAACATATCAGTTTTGTTCCCTTAGTAAAATAAAACTTAAACTGCATATAAAAGTATTAGAAATATAATTCATAAGACGCATAACAGTAGGAGAATTTGCAAAAACAAAAATTCCTATTCATTTTAGCAATCCACAAACTATTGTAACACTCTCCTCAAACTCAAGGTAGTCAAAGCTCGAGCTTTAAACTGGAACTCCTAATACCTCTAGGATTCCCTAAACTTGAGTTTGGGCAAACAATAGACTTAACTAGTCAAACACCTCAGAAGTGAATTTTATAGCTGGATTTCAAGCTTGAACACTCACTAAGTCAAGCACAGCAACATGTGTATATTCATTAAATTGAGCTCAAACACCCACATCACCAGCTTGGTATGACATACACATATTTAATTATTTACAGCCATAGCTCCTAGCGACATAGTCTTCTACTCATCACACCTTTCATTTTAATCTAATCCGCCACTTTTTCAAACATATATTGGGATCTTAGCATTTTTTATAAGTAGCTTTCTTAGCCTTCCCACCTTCTATTTCCTATTCCTACCAAGTTATCATTCCTTCAAATAAAAGCATCCATAACTTTACACTTGATAGGTGTAAACCATTTTATTGATGCTTTATATGCCTTATTATTAATAGCCTTTAGGATGAAGTCATTTCTAATATGGTCCTTTCTTCTACTTCCACACTGCCATCACATCACAGCTACCATCAATCATGGAGACTATGTTCAAATGCATTTTCTAGGCATATGTGTAGCAAACAGTCTCATGTAGTCTTTTATGTAATATGTGTGCTTGTACATCCGTTCTATCATCTATCACTGAGGCAAAAACAAAATTGATTGAACATTTGTCTATGTCAATTATAGCAGTAAAGGACTAAAGGAGTATGGTTTTCCTCCTTTTCAAACACCAGAAATTGTGCTTCATGCCTTCATAATTTTTTTCTTTTATGAAAAGTGATGCTGCATACATATGCATTAATGCATTATAGCTCTAAGAGACCAAAGAATGATCCCTTTTTCTAATGCCATCTGCAAGACCTATCTTGGGATTCAATTATTTGCTTTTTCTTGACATCTTGAGAATTTTTCATCAGTCTCCTAATAGGATTAAGTATATCCTAATACAACTTCTTGGCATAGAGCCAAATATTACAATATCACTTTTACCTAAGTAACTTTTTCTGAGAGTTTCAAAATATAATGTGAATTTAAGTCAACTTTAGCATAGAAATAATATATTTTGAACTTATTGAATATTTCTTACTCTTGGTTATGTTTGGAATGCCAAAGCAATACCAATTATGAATCAATATTAATTAGCAAGTCTATTGATGAATGAAAACAATACTCAGTACATTATTCTATAGTTGCTACTGCTATTACTTCATACTTCATTTTGAACAAAAATGTCAGCATTGGGTCTTTGGTACCTATCCTTGTCTTTAACAAACCAATGATAAATGACAAGAATAATGGAGCATAGAGACAAACATGAAAACACTCATAAGCATAAAATTGAGTTTAAACCAAGCCCTATTGAAGAATTATATACACGATTTAAAAGCTGAGCAAGTTTAACTGGTTTTTTTTTGAAAGGAAGTTTAACTGATTTATTATTGCATCTTCCTCCAGATATCAGGAAAGATCAAAATGCAATTAACTAAATTCAATAATATGGCACATTAGAAAGTAGGCAAGTGCATGGTTGAAAAAATCGCTAGGCAGCGCCCGGGGGGAGCCTAGACGCCCATTATTTTTTTTATTTTTATATTTTTAAAAAATTTGTTTAAATTTTTAAATTTTTTAAGACTTGATAAATTATAAACTATTTAATACTTTAATAGTTAATACTAAAATATTAAATATCAACCTAAAAACATCTAGAGTTTGAACAATTTAGGGTTATTTCATTCAAAACGACATCGTTTTGAGTGAAATAACCCATTAAAAAAACAGGAACAATAGTTGATTGGCTGACTAGGCGGCCGCCTAAACCACCAATTATGGTGATACGCTAGGTGGCCGGCCGGCGTCTAGACGCGATTTTTGCAACACTGGGCAAGTGCAAGCAAGATAACCAGCACTTGGGTATAGAAATCCATTATAAACACACTACACAATTTCTAAACCTCTTAAGGATTTTATACTGTTTCTTGCTAAACCTACAACCCCCATGGTCCTTAAACCCCTACCCACTTGCCCCAGTTCATACAGATGACACTGGCACTTCAGACTGCTGGAATCATGAACTGCCAATTGTACAACCACAACCAAACAGTTAAAAAGTTCCCAGTGAAAATCACCTGGTAATAATCACCAGGAATTATAAAATCAGTACCTCCAAATAACTTTTGAGGCATCATTGATGCTTACATCAATAATCCAGATAAAGCACAATATAAAGGGATTATATGCACACAATACAGCAGAAATGCATAATATTTAGCACTGCTAAAAAAGGTAAATGACAAAATATAGGGGGGAAAAAAAACCTTCTTGGAGCCAAAAAGATCCTCTTCATCATCATCAAGCTCTCCAAAGCTTCTCTTAGTCCCTATCACCAGATTCTTCTCATTAACGAATACAGCGTATGCATACATTAAATGAAGAAAATAAAAATAAAAAATAAAATAAAATAATAAACCTGAACGCCGGGATCCAGTGAAATCACCGCCAAAATCATCGTCCTGCTAGTTTAAAAAAATTAAGGACAGGAAGTACAGAGAGAAGTAGAAGAGATGAAGTTCAAATAGAGAGAGATAACTTACATCATCGAGATGGTTAGGAGAAGCCATTGGATGTGATTTGAACGGACTTGAGTTGAACTTGAAACCCTAAATTTGGTTCGAGATACGAATGGCTTTCTCTTCCAGTCTAGAGGGAAAACTGGAAAAGGGGAGGGTCGAAAGAAGAACCGGGTTGATAATGCTTTCAGATAGACCGGTTAATTACCCGGTTCAGATCCTAATCGTTTTTAACGTTTAAGCACCTCATATCCATATACTAGTTTTTACTTTTTACAAGTGCATACCGCGATAATATGGGGTGTGATTGAGGGAAAGTGACTCATTCATCTTAATCAAAGGTTAAGAGTTTAATCTTTGGTTTTGGGTATAGAGCAGCCTTAAATCTATAGGTCAGTTGTCTCATGAAAATCATGATTACACTCAAATAAAAATAGAAGTGCCTATAATTCAGCGATGGATTAGTCATTGAGTTTGACGGTGAAAACCATGACCACACCCAAAAAAAAAAAAAATAATAGTGTGACTGATTTAATGTCCAATTTTGTATTTAAATAAGTAATTCAAAGTATATCAATGCAATAGTATATAGGAGAAGTTCATTATATTTGGCATTAAAATTAATGTTTGCACTTTTTTAAAAAATAATTATCTAAATACTGATTGTAATTGGTATGATAATAAGCAGTGTTGCAAAAATTGTACCTAGGCACCGACAGGCCGCCTAGCGTATCACCATAATTGATGGTATAGGGCACCTAGGCGTCTAGCCACCAACTAGTTTGTCTAGTCTGTCGATTAGTTATTGCTCCATTTTTTTGTTTTTTTTTTATTTTAAATGGACTATTTTACTCAAAACAACGTTGTTTTGAGCGAAATAACTCTAAATCGTTAAAACCATATATATTTTTTTAGGTTAATATTTAATATTTATTAAATAGTTTGTACTATCAAGTCTTACAAAATTTTGAAAAATAAAAAAAAATTAAAAAAAAATTAAAAATAATAAAAAATACGTGAGCACCTATACGCCGATTAATCGGCACCTAGCGATTTTTTCACCCATGGTATTAGGTTAGATACAATTTTTGGTTTGAATTACTCTAAGTTTTGTTAATTCGCTTTTAGATATGTTTGTTATTGTGTTAATCTTCTTGGTTTGTCAACTTATTTTTTTGTTAGTAGTGTCTCATGTGTAATTGGGTTACTAGTGCTAGTTTAAAAAAATAACATATTTAGATCTAAAATATTTCAACGATATTAATGTTATTTTTGGGTGATTGTTGTTTCAGTTTCATAATTATATTAGATTTAAAGGTGTTGACTTTCTTGTATGAGTTGCAAACATTAACAACGCCAGAAGAATGAGTATGCATTACTTGCACAAATAAAATGATGAAAATATACTAGAAGAAGTGATATAGAATTGGCAAAATCATATTATCGATCTATCTCTTTCACTTATATCCGGGAGAGGGCTAAGCTAAAGGGAGCTAATGATGCACACTATTTTTAATCTAATTCGTCCAACCAAAAAAACACTTGAAGACTCCATGAATTCTCAAACTCTGGATGAATTAATCCTAAATTTTGGCTTGTATGAAGTTGCAATTGTTTTTTTTTTTTGTTGCATTTGACATAACAGAGTGGATTGAACCAGAAACATTGTTGTTACTGAGCAGGAGCCACCACTTTACCATGATGGAATCGATCGGTTGAAGAGGCAAGGAGTACAGGCCAATTAAATGTCTTGAGAATCAAAAATCTTGGTTGGTGAGGCTCAACCAATTGTTGTCACTCCCTCATCTCCTACATTTACTTTAATACTCCACAAGATTAATGAAGTCACTTCATATTCTGCCTAATTAGATGCACTTGGTGACTTCAGCATCAAATAATCAATTTTAAGTGTTGGTCCCGAAAGGTGGCGAAAAGTCTAGAGGAGGGGGGGGGGGGGGGGGGGGGGGGTGAATAGACTTCTCTAACTTTTTAAACTTCTTTTGCAAACAACACTTTGGTAACTTCAGCTCTAAGTAACAAGCATAAACAAATATAACAACTTAGAGTGTGCACAGCGGAAATGTAACGGCAAAGTGTTATGCTTTAAATTGTGTCGTGCTCAAAGAGAGATTCTATACATGCATCACGTTAGAAACACTTGATATAGATGTAGGATGATATATATAAAATTTCACTTGCATGCAAACGAGGGAACTATCAAACCCAGACAGATAAAGATACGCAATAAACCGTAACGGGTTAGTTCACAGATGATATAAGCATGCACGAAATTAAATGAGCAGTAAGTAAATAGAGAGAGAGATTTATAGTGGTTCAGAGGTGATGTAATCCTCCTAGTCCACTCTTCTCCTTTCACTTCAAGGAGGAAATTAACTATTCTTCGATCACCCAGATACAATAGTGAATAAGTGCCCAGCGACACTTCTCCGAGTGCTTCGCACAAAGCTACACTCCACCAAGGTTTTTCGCAAGCTCCTCTTGTTACTCCGCCTTCCCGAGTACTTCGCACCAAGCTGTACTCCTACACCACGAGAACTACGCACAAAGCTACGCTCTCACCGGGTTTTCACAAGCTTCCCTTGTTACTCTGCCCGTTACAACCGAGTGCTACGCACAAAGCTACACTCCAACTGGGTTTTTCACTCTCCTAGTTACTCTACCCCTTTTCTACACTCAGTAGAAGATTTACAACGAAATACAAAGATTTCTTTTTCTCAGACTTGAATTCTATCTTATATAGCTCAATATATCACTTGATGATTGTAGAATTCGTTTTTGTAAATCTATATATCTCTCTCGAATTCCTTGCTTGTCTTCAAGTCTGCTTGGGCATTTTATAGCCAATGAAAGCTATTTGCCCGTTGATCAATTTTCGATCTTGATCGTCCAATTTGAATTGTAGTTGATCAAATAATTTTGCCAACTTGGTCTGCAAAAATCATTTCGCCGTCTGTCAGAAGATTTGAATAAATCTTGCCGTTGCTCTCCTTTAATCTGACAAAGCTTTTCTTTGGAATGGGAAGCCTCCAAAGTTAAATTTCTCTGGCATGACTTTTGTTGAATTATTGATCTGATGTGCCAAGTTGATCAAATAATTTATCTACTGATTCTTTCTTGAGTAAAAAAGATTTCCTTCGTATATCAGAGCTTCAAAAGAATGTTTCTGTCTAATTCTATCATGATGTCATAGCTCCTTTTGATGATGTCATGTCCCAATAGTGTATCATGTTCCACCTTGTATTATGGACTATATATCATGGACTATATATATCATGTTCCTTTTCATATCATGAGCTAGCTATCATGTTCCACCTTGTATCATGGACCAGATATCATGTTTCATTGTATATCATGGACCAATATCATGTTTTTATAAAATCACTTTAAGTGGGAATTGAACTGTAGACCATTTGCTTTACTTAGCAAGGCTTCTTCCATCTCGATTGGGTAACCAATTGATACAATCCAAGACTTAAATTCTTTTGTCTTGTCTCTTCCACGTGTTCTCCACTAGCCTTACCACACTGTGACGTCATCACCCGATAATAGTGACATCATCATCCGATAATTTTAACTATCATGATATAAAATTGTTCTTTTATGATAGTATTACCTGGTATTACTACTATCATGATATTTTCTTTGTGACATCATCTCCTGATATTGCTACTTCACGATAGCAATTCATCTTTACACCAAAATTACTTCTACTAGGAATCGAACTGTAAATCATCTCGCATTAAGCATGCTTCAACAAGTCATCTACCATCTCATCCATCTCAACCTTTGGTGACTTGATGCTTCATAAATGTGTTAAGCTATAATCCCGCTTTCATTTATTCTTCCTTCAAACTGCTTTCACGTAGACTTCATGTAGGCTTCATGGCAGTGGTGCACTATACTTTGTGAACCAGAACTGACTCAAATAAAATAAAATTGGGGTCTACAAAATACATTTGGCTCATCAAAACTTATACAATATATTCCTAACATTAAGTTTGAATGAGTTTAATTTAATAGAGGCATCGATTTCAGTAGAGTACGTGCTCCAATTCTACACAATGTTATCTATGTTGCTCTGTGCCAATCTATATGTAGATTAATGTCAGGTTTAATTTATGCAGCAAAAGTTTCATTAAATCCTAAAATCATGAAAAATTTCTTTGTATTATGCAGTTCTTTAGATTCCATATGATGATTTGATTTGAACATTTCAGGTGGTGTGAGATCTTTAGGATCAATAAAGTTTAATTTGCTCTATCAAATTCTCCATTATATTGTTTCGAAATAATTGAATATGCATACCCCCCCCCCCCCCCCAATGCAAGATGATTCATTGACACTCTTGTGTTTTTTATGCATTGATTTCACTACAGAAAAAATGTAAATATTGATGAGAACCAGAATGTGATGTTTAATTGATCAAATTGACTGTAGGCAAACTTGAAACAAGTGCTAGGAGAACATTTGGTAACTCATGTAGGGTTGGAATTCTTGCACTATACACTTGAATTTCAAGAAAGATATGATAACTACTTCTTGCATATTTGTTTTGCATCTCTCAAGTTGTCTAAATTCGGGTCTTATAAATGACACAATTTACTTTTAAAAATGAGGATATTTCCTAACCACCACGCCAACCATGCTTAAAGAACGAGGTGCTGAACCACCACGCCAACCATGTTATATATATATATATATATATATATATATATATATATATATATATATATATATATATATATATATATATATATAGAGAGAGAGAGAGAGAGAGAGAGAGAGAGAAGGTATATAACTTTAATGATGTAAAAATAATTTTGTCTGATAACAAATAATAATAAAATATTTATAAAGTAATGTACAATTTTATCATTTTAGTAATCCAAACAAAAATTATGAATATCATAATGACCTAAGTCATTATTAATAACGCAAAAGCATAATTTAAATATTGAATCTTGTTATAAATAATAAATAATAAATAATAATAATAATAATAATAATAATAATAATAATAATAATAATAATAATAATAGTAGTAGTAGTAGTAGTAATTAAACAAACAAAAAAAGAACAAAAAAAAAAAAAAAAAAAAAAACGTAACCTAGAATTGTTTTTAA